TGCGTCTGCAGTGTTTCCGGTGCAGGGTTGGGGGGACATGGGGAGTGGGGACCTGTGTGCCTCGCCGGGCTCCTCTCTCAGGGTCCCCACTTCCCGCGGGGCCACCCGAGGGAGGCGAGGCGCCGCCCCGCCCGCCTTGTGCTTGCTGCTGAGTCCCGGCGAGGCACCCCAGGGCACCCCAGCGACAGGTGCCTCAGCGGCCCGGGGCACCTGCTGATTCTGCAGGGAGCGTACCCCCCCACCCCCCGGGCGGTACTTGGTCTTCTCAGCTGGCCGTTATTTTCCCAAACCCTGGCCTGCTTTTTGTACTTCGGTCATCAGAAGTTATTTAATTATTTAAAGAGCAGAAAATATTTACTGGGGGGAAAGAAAACTCCTGTCCCCGGGAGAGTCAGAAGGGGTCCTGAGAAGCGGGCTGCCCCAGAAGGTCATAGTTATGATGCGGCTTGGAAATACATTTTTGGACACTGACACATTAGCATGCCGCCCACCTGAGTGGCCTTTTCTTGCTTTTCCCTTTGTTCAGTCAGCGCAGGTATTTCACTTTTGTTTGTGGTACTGGCTCAAACGCAGGCCCTCACGCATGCCAGCCAAGTGTTCTGCCGCGGAGCTCCAGCCTCAGCCCCAGCGTACTTCAGATTGTGATTATAAAAGTAATAGTAGCCGGGGTGGTGGTGCATGCTTGTAATTCCAGCATTCGGGAGGCTGGGGCAGGAAGATCGCTGCAAATTTGAGACGAGTCTGGGCTCCATAGTGAGTTTAAGGACAGCCTGGACTACCTAATGAGACCCTGTCTCAAGAAAGCCAAAACAACAAAAAAAATCAAAACAAAAAAAAATTGTACAAAACTGGGCATAGTGGTGCACACCTGCAGTGCCAGCACTTGGGAGGCTGAGGCAGGAGGACTGCTGTAACTTCAAATGCAGCCTGAATAACAGAGCAAGACCCTGTCTCCAAAAAAAGATAACTGTATAAAAATGGGAAATTAGGGCTGGGGATATAGCTCAGCGGCATAAGGGCCTGCCTGGCAAGCAGAAGGTCCTGAGTTCGATTCCCAGTACCAAAGGGGGAAAAAAAAAGAACACTGTACAAAAATGGGAAATTATAGAAAAGCACAACACACAAAATAAAATTCACTTTTCAACCCAGCACATAGATACAATTATTGTTAACATTTTTCTGTGCATATCCTTTTGAGCTTTCATTCTTTTGTATAGACATATTCATGAACCTAATTTGTTCCACGAATCTGGGGAGGATGGCCAAGTTTGTGATCGTGCAGGGAAAGTGGCTGTGGTTTTGTTCGTCACCTGATACTGAGCTCCAAAAGGAAGCAAAATTTTGCCGAGTGTTTCTGTTTGCGAACCGAATTGTTCATGAATGCTGAACGTTGCAGTATTTATGACACAGTGAAACAAAACAAAATTGAGATCACACATGAGCACACTATTTTGTAACATGCCTTTTTCCTCTTTAAACTATCTCAATATATCTTTATTATTAATTTGATAAAATATACATAACATAAAATCTCCCACCTTAACCATTTTCATCTCTGGTTTAATGGCATTAAGTATTTTTCCCTTGTCCTGCAGCCATCACCCGCCACCCACCCCCAGAGTTCTTTCCATCTTATAAAAGTTTGTCCCGACTGAACGACTAGTCTGTCTTCGCCTCTCCTCCCAGGGCATGAAAACCGCCTTCCCACTTTCATCTCTGTCAGTTTCTACTCTGTGTGGCGCATGTACGCAGAAGCAGGGTTTGCTGTTTTGTGACTGGCTTCTTTCACTCAGCATAATGTGTCAAGGCTTATTCACGTTGCGCTGCGTGCCAGGATGTCCTTCCTTTTAGAGGATTTCCCACTGCAGGACTGGCCCACATTTTGTTGATCTGTCTTCCATGGACACTCGTATAACTTCTGCCTTTCGACTGTTACGAATAATGTCATAAACATCGGCGCAAATGTTCCCTTGAGACAATGCTTTCAGTTTTTTCGGCTACTCAGAAGTAGGCTTCTGGAGCAGGTGTGTATTTGTTTATTGATTGACTGAGGTGCTGAAACCCAGGTCTTTGCATGCTAGGCACTCTTCCCGTGAGCTACTTCCCCAGCTCTCTTTTTTTTTTTTTTTTTTTGGCACAGAGTCTTGCTATGCAGTTCAGACTGGCCTTGAACTCATTATGTAGCCCAGGTTGGCCTCAAACTCACAGCGATCCTCCTGCTTTAGCCTTCTGAGTGCTGGGATGACAGGCAGGCGCCACTACACATGGGTTCTAATTTTTTAGTTTTTGAGGCACTGCTACTGTTTTTTATAGCTATTGTATCACAAAATGGATCAGCTTTTTTTTTTTTTTTTTTTTTTTTTTGCAGGGTCTCCCTATGTATTCTAGGCTGGCCTTGAACTCACTGTGTAGCCCAGATTGGCCTCATTCATAGTGATCCTCCTGCCTTAGCCTCCTGAGTACTGGAATTACATGTATGCCCCACCACACCCAGCAATGTATTTTACATTATCCTTCCAAAGTCCAATTTTTGATGACTATCTGGTAGTAATCTATTATATAGCTGTGTGAAAATTTAATGTTGAATATTTGAGTAGTTTTCATTTGGCAGTCATAAATAAAGCCACAGTGAACTTAAAGTTTGTGCTTGTTGCTGAAAGTTTATTTGGGATAACATAGACTTGGCCGGGATTAATCTTTTTTTCAAAATTTATGGCATGTGTTGACAGATTATCTTCTGAACGTTCTGTCACTTTACCCCCTCAGCAGCAGGGGCTGAAATTGCAGGCTTCTATTGTGCCCTGGTATGTATTGGATATTATTTATTTAAAGACATATATACATTTTTTTTGCCTATTTGATGATTATTAACATTATACCAGACTTGCTTCATCGTTTGCTTTTTTTAGATTATTTTAAAGTAAATTATAGATGTCCCTACATTTATCCTGGCGTCTTCAGCACACATCATAGGACGAGGGACAGTTTTTACACAGTTCTTACGCCGTTATTGCTGTGTGTCATCCTCAGTTCATATTCGGTTACCGTGGGCTCACAGATGCCGCGTGTGCAGTTGGTTTCCTTGCTTGGGTTAGACAAGGTCGCCTTCCTGCATGTGGTTGCTCAGTCTCTGAAGTCCCTGCTTCCATTCTACTTCTTTTATGCTCGGATCCCTTGAAGAGTGCTGAAATGTTAAAAAAAAAAATGTGTGTGTTGCCCTATTACTGTCCTTTACTCACCTTTGTATTCAAGTGTGCATTTTTCTTGCTTGGCTTTGAAAGAGCTCTTTATATGGTAAGGCTATTGGTCTTTGTCTTATAATTTGTAAATTTTTTTTTCCAGTTTTTCATTTGCCTTTTTTTTTTTTTTTTTGGTACCAGGAATCAAACTGTGCCACTGAGCTACATCCCTGGCCCTTCATTTGCATTTTTGACCAGTTACAAGTTTACCCTGAGAGTCACTGGGCAATGCATTTGTTTACTGACCACCCTTGCTCAGGCAAGTGTCATTTCTTTTTCTTTTTTCCGGTACCAGGGATCGAACTCACGACCTCGCGCTTGCCAGGCAGGCACTGGGCCACTGAGCTAAATCCCCAGCCCCGCAAGTGTCATTTCAACCAGTTGATTTTTCTTTTTTTTTTTTGTCTTTTGAGACAGGGTCACGCTATGCAGTTTAGGCTGCCCTTGAGCTCACTTTGTAGCCCAGGCTGGTTTCCAACTTGCAACAATCTTCCTGCCACAGCCTCCTGAGTGCTACTATGCCTGGCTTGAATAAATTTGATAAAATGGTCATTTTTATATTTCCTGTTATCTTATAAAAATTAATGAAAAAATACGCAATTTTTGGTCATCCTATGTTTAAATAATTGGACAGATCAGTGATTAATTTTGTAGGTTTTTTTTGTTCTTCTTTTGTGCGAGGAAATGTTTGAAACTTTTTGTAGGCCAACCTACATTTTCTTTTTTTTTTTTTTTTCCAACCTACATTTTCAACCTTGTCTTTTACGCTTTGGAAAATATTCCATTCTGAAATCAGGTGTGTAGTCACTTTTATTTTTTCCTATTTCCTTATGATTTTATTTTTCACATTTAATTTTTCAACCAAATGTAATTTTTTGTACAGTGTGATTAGAGATTTAAATTTTTCCTTAATATTAATTTTGGCTTAAGCAGGGCATGATGGCGCACACCTGTAATCCCAGCACTTGGGGAGGCTGAGGCAGGAGGATCATTGGGAGTTCGAGACCAGCCTGGGCTACAAAGGGAGCTCAAGGCCAGCCCAAACTCCATAGTGAGACCCTGTCTCAAAAAGACAAAAAAAAAAAAACCACCCCAAAACAAACAACCCAAAAAACAAAACCTTTGGCTTTAGAACTACTTGTCGAGTAATCTGCCTGTCACCCATAACTCGGGCGCCGTGTTCAGCACGCATAGACGGTGGTAAGGCGATGCCCAGTTCCACCCACCATCTCATTGGCCTTTCCGAGTCACTGTGTCTTGACTGTTCCGACATTGTATTTGAATATTTAGCAGTTCAAACATCTCTTGTTTAAAACTTCTGGCCTCTTCTTTGCATCTATGACATTATCACATTATTTACATAAGTTTTGGAATTTCTACCCCCTCCCTCCCCTCATCCTTCTCATCCCTTGAGACTTTATTGGAATCCTGTCACACGTAAGGTTAATGTATTGAAGAATTTCCATACTGAATCCCTC